TCTCTCTCTCTCTCTCTCTCTCTCTCTCTCTGCCTCTCTCATACACACACACACACACATTCATACTCGCACACACACACACAAACACACACGGTAACAACACATGTCTTTGTGTGGGTATGTGTGTGTTTGTGCGTGTTTGTGTGCGTGTGTGTGTGTATGTGTGTGAGTGCGCATGCGAGTATGCTCTTGCGCTTGTGCGTACTTGGACGCACATGCGCGTATAGCAATAGCATTAGTAAAAAAAAAAAAATCCTTTACATCAGTATCTAGCCCCCATGCCTTTCGAAAAGACCTCTGTGCCAATTTGGCAGTGTATTTGTGAACAGAACAGACAGTTGAGACAGGGGGTATTTGACAGGTGGCTATGGGGAGAGGCAGATAAGGCTTGACAGGTCAATTTCCCGCGCTTTTTCACCGGTAACTGGCTTGTCTGGTTAACCCTTTTCTCATATAATGTAAGAGAAAATAACATACACCCTTGTCTAGACAAGTATGAAGCCTTTTCTTTTGAACTGTATAATATTATATTACACTATTGTCTAGTATTAACCCTATTTTTCTCTGTTTAATATTTTATAAACATTCTCGTCTAGTATTAACCCTTTCCCCATGTACTGTATACTATATTATAAATACTCTCGTGTACAATCTACCCTTTTCTTATGCTTTATTTTTTTCTAGTTAGCCATTTTCTCATATTATACTGTCTACTCATATCTCGTTAGCAATGGTCTGATTTAAAGGCAAGTTGATAGATCTATAGGAAAAGTCATTATCATCCAGACACTGGGATATTGATTTAATGTTTCACCACACACACACACACACACACAACACACACACACAAACACAGTTACACACCCCCCCACACACACAAACACACATACACGCCCACACACACTCACCACTTGCCCAAAGCCTCACAGCGCCTAGACAGTAGTTCTATCACCACATCCGTCTCCTCAGTCGCTTCCCCCAGCACACGACCCACCCTCACACAAACACACACAGAGACACTCACACACACAAACTCACCACTTGCCCAAAGTCTCACAGCGCCTAGACAGTAGTTCTAACACCACATCCGTCTCCTCTGTCGCCCCCCCCAGCACACGACCCACGCTCAAGGCCAACTCCAGCTCATGACCCCGGATCAGTTTGGACATCGCTTTCTGTGGACAGAAAAATGTGGGGAGTTGGCGGGTGATCTGGCGTTTAACGACACTTGCAACACAATTAGGTCATTTAAGTGTGGAAGATTAGATGTGTTACAAGAAAGTGACAAACAGTAAAAAAGAAGGCGGGGAGAAAGGCTTAAGATAATGGTTGTTTAATAGGAAAGAAGGAGCAAACCACACCAGAGGTAAAATTTTTATTAAAACTGAAACTAAAGATAAAAGTCGGGTAACACCATTGAACTACTGAACATAAAACTCCAAACCAAGTAAAAACAGTAAAGATCAGATAAGATTTATTTGATCAAAAGTAAAAGTGTGTGTTCTGGGAAAATGTTTTGCTCATCACAGTGTGTGTTTTAAGAACATAGATTGTGTTTTCTGTGTGTGTTTTGAGAGCAAAAATTGTGTTTTCTGAGTGAAAGTTTGGAACCTAGATCATGTTTTCTGAACGTGAATCGTTTCAGTATGTGAGTTGGGAACATGGTGTTTTCTGTGTGTGAAGATTGGAAACAAAGATCATAATTTCTGTTTGTGAAAATTGGGAACAAATATGATGTCTATTTTCTGCGTGTGAAAATTGGGAACAGAAATGGTGTTTGTTTTCTGTGTGTGAAAATTGGGAACAAAGATGGGGTTTTCTGTGTGTGAAAATTGGGAACAAAGATCATTCTGTGTGTGAAAATTGGGAACAAAGATCATTCTGTGTGTGAAAATTGGGAACAAAGATCATTCTGTGTGTGAAAATTGGGAACAAAGATAATAATTTCTGTGTATGAAAATTGGGAACAAAGATGATGCTTTCTGGGTATGAAAATTGGGAACAAAGATGGTCCTTTCTGTGTGAAAATTGGGAACAAAGATGTCGCTTTCTACGTACCTTTTGGTCATCGACAGCCAGATGGCAGCAGGCTGCTAGGGTCGGGGAACCGTTACGGAAGTGAAAGTCAGCGAGAGTCTCCATAGCCTCCACTGCCAAACTGGACACACAAGAGACAAAACAATGCGACATTATGTGTCACCACACGGTGGAATCAAACGCCTGTCAATTTTTTGGGCACATGGAGTTTATCGGAATCATTTTAAAGCTTGTTCATTTGCCCTGCTTTAGTTTTCAACAATGCCCATCACTGTTGGATAGAAGTTAAGATATTTGCAATTAAAAAAAGCGGGAACTGCCTGGTGTCAGAGGTAAAGATAGCAAGAAAATGGCTGCCAAATTTTGATAGCTTCCAAAGCTTCAGTGTTCTCGGAAACGGCAAATTTACATTTTCGTTCCTTTTATCATTTTTCAGGAAAATCCACACACATAAAAGGTGCTGAGTCATGGTAAAAAAGTAACAATTAAAAATTGCCCAACAGGGTTAAAAATATTGATTTCTTCAATTTCAATATTTTGACAAGTGCAAGATTTCAATGTGATGCCATACATAATATGTATCAGATCAGTGTTTAAAAAAAAAACAAGTGCTCTGAGCCCCCCCCCATACACACACAAGCCCATAACGAGACGCTGAAGCAGAAGCTTCAACATCACATCTCTCTCCTCAC